TGAGACAACCAAAATTAATGTGACAAAGTCATGAATGCCATATATTCGACTCATCCGAAACATTAACATTGTTCACCACTTTATTACACACATCATCAAGCAAAGATAAGCGGAATAAGCCTCCACAATCATAACCTTTTCTAATAAATGTTCCATGTCTCGACACAACACACTTATTGGACTCAAGCATAATTTTAAAGCCATCGCGACACATTTGAGAACCACTAACAAGATTCTTTTTTATGGAGGGGACGTGCTGCATATTCTTTAATAGCACCCGAAGTAAACTTCAGAACGACCGTACCAGCACCAAGAACACGTGCATGCGAACCATTTCCCATCAGCAAGGCTCCAGTCCTGCCGGCCTGATAGGAAGTAAACAAAGAAACATCAGCACACACATGAATATTAGCACCGCTGTCCATCCACCACTCAGGCGAAAGATAAACTGAAAGAACAAAAAGTAAAGAATTACCATACCCAGATGTTCCTCCTCCAGTCTCGCTAATCACCACGTTTGCTGATTTCTTTTCTTGCTTATATTTGCGGTATGGGCACGCACTTGCCCAATGCTCATCACTCCCGCAAACAAAGCAACCTCCACCTTTCTTGTTGTTTTTCTTCTTAAACTGTGCAGTTTGCTTAGGCTTTGCATTGTTGTTCTCTTGCATGTTCTTCTTCTTTTTATTACGGGATGCAAATGAGTTTTTCTTCTGCACCGTATTGGCAGCGAAAGACTCAACTCCTTTTTCATGGTTGTCTTTTGCTCCCGCTCTCTCCTCAACATCAAGAGATCCAATAAGCTCAGCCACGCTAAACTCTTGTCTCTTGTGTTTTAGAGAAGTAGCAAAATCTCTCCAAGAAGGTGGCAGCTTAGCGAATATACCACCAGCCACAAACTTGTCGGGCAACAAACATGGGAAATGTTCTAGTTCCTTTGCTAGCGCCTGTATCTCATGAGCCTGTTCGACTATAGAACGATTTTTAACCATTTTGTAGTCATATAGCTGCTCCATAAGGCACAGCTCACTACCAGCATCAGAAACTCCAAACTTTGCCTCAAGAGCATCCCATAACTCTTTGCCTGATGCGCAAGATATGTAGTTTTTCTCATACTTAGGATGAAGTGCACTAATCACGGTGCCTCGAAACAAGTTATCGACAGCCAAGAACTTTTGCTCCTCCTCAGGAGTAAACTGTTCAAGCTTCCCCTGCGCGGCGTGATAGCAGTTCATCGCAGTCAACCACAATACCATCTTGGCACGCCATATCATAAAATTCTTGCCATCAAAATTATTTTGCTTCAAAGCAGCAGCAAAACCACTAACAGAAAATTACCTAACATTAGGTTTTTGGATTGTTAGAAATTTAGGCATACATTAAATTGCCTAACATTAGATTTTTGGATTGTTAGAATTTTAGGCATTTTCACTAATACGGCGTTGCTACGGGTGATGTACCAACCACCTCCTCTTGTTTACTTTGAGAGAACACTATTTCATCAACCCGTTGTGGATTTCCCATTCAAACACCCGAATATTTGTATCAAAAGTGGTACCGCGTGCATGCTGCCGAGGCCTTTACTTGTGCCGGCGTGCTAACTTTGCATGGTGCATGCAAATGACCGATGGCTAGTTAGCGTTGTTAAAGGTAACAAGGTGCTGCTGGTGCGTGCGTGGTAAATGTGGTGGTTGTCTGTGTGCGTGCTTGCCTTGCTCTATTGGCTGCGCATATACAGTTGTGCTGCTCGTGCTGCTGCCATGCATGGAGAAGGGAGAGGGAGGGAAGGTGGGACCTGCTGTCGTGGTGGCGTGTGAGCTGCCGCAGTCGGTGAGGGGCATCCGGGCGCTGGTGCGCTGCGGCGGCGATGGTGGTGGGGTCAGCGCACGCGCCATTGTCGGGCATCGAGCAACGGAGGACCAAGTCTTCAAAACCATTTTATTTCTTGCTTATGTGCCTGTAATTTGACCATCTTAACCATGCCAACGTTCCATTGAAGCACAACCAGCAGACACATTATATATGTCACGTGGTTGACTGCTTTTATGTTGTGAGCAGGATACTATTTACTTAGACGTGGTATTGAAACACCATCGAAAATATAATCTAAGAGCAACCACAATATTGCAGAAAAGTAGTCCATAGGCATTAGAATAGTCTACCAGCTAGCTGAAACATTGTAGACTTTGTATGTATCAGTATATCTTTGGTTACATGACATACGGCAGGTAAGTTAATGTACTTATAGAATGTCCCTAGGTACACGTGAATTTTTAAGAGTACTGCCACTAGGTGTCAGCGGGCGTGCTAGTCCTTGTCGCCATAGGCAAGTGTGCTTGCCTAGAATTATGCTAATGATGCTTAGGCTTCAAGCGTTCTGCAGCCAAGTTGCGAATTATGCTAATGATGCTTAGGCTTCAAGCGTTCTGCAGCCAAGTTGCTTGTTAACACGGTAATAGAGTTTGATTAGGAGACGCTCCTTCTCATTCAATATGGAATACATGTCATCACAAACGCGCACCACATGTATATATCTGAAGGTGGCAAACAGGGGCGGGTATATATGCAAGCTTACACATAGCCAATGTACACACAAACTACTGCAGGGATGAACTACAATGAGGGCTTCTCCAGTGGGGACAGAAAAGCGACTCATCATCCAACGTGGAGGCCAGAAAAATCGACCGACTGGAGTATACGACTCACGCAGAAGAGAGAAAAATCAACTCACGTTTCAGGGTCGACTCCTCCCAAATAATCAAAGAATTCAGCTCACCTCACATATTGCTGCTGCCCACCTTTCCCTTCCTGCACTTGCGTAGTTTTATCGAGAACAAGAGGAAGTGATACAATTGGGGCCGTCTTTATAGTTTGTATACGGTGTATTTGCAATTAGAATTGCTGAACAATTATGCTCTGTTAGCACCTTTTTATATAATAAACAAACCTGATTACTGCCTCTGCAGAAATTAATTTCTGTCTCCTGTTTTCAGATGAACCAGTTACTGAAGCCTACAGTGTCTTGGGTTTTCCTCTTTGGTGGTCTGCACGTCGGACTGGCATATGTATGAACCCCCCCACCCACTTCACGATTGTTCACTGGACTTATTTTTACGTAGGAAAATTATATGGCTCCTTTAGGTAAAATATATATATGTATATTTTTTTTCTGCGAGCATCCTTTATGTAAAATATTGTGTTGCAATGTTTTAGAAAAATCATGCATGTACCAAAACCTAAGTTAATTATAGATGCAACAATTCAGTTTAAAATTCATCTTTGATGTTGAGATTCAAAAAACACATGTGTCAATGTCATCACAAGATGAACAGTACCAGTTTGACTGCTTGTCTGTTTATTTCCTGACACCTAATTTATTGCAACCATATTTAACTTTATGTGTAGTACATACATGATTTTTGTGATGATTTTTTTGAAACATTGCAACATGATGGTGCTCGGCTGCACTTCTGGTTGTGGCTGCTTGATTTGCACAGTGCTTACTGAGTGATGCAGCACTGCAGAATAATAACTACTGATCAGAGCAGATATTTTACCCAACAGTGGGTGCCAAATCTGTATTTTTTTAATATATTGCCTGGCTTTCTGCAATTGATTCCATTTGCAAGACATGCTACTGTCGGCTTGTTTGCATGTGGACATAACAATGTGGGGAAAGTCTGAAATGTGCTATCGTCGCTCCCATGTGCTGCATCCATACCCAGGAGAATTTGCGTTTGGCTATCATGATCCTTACCACCCCTACTCTGCTGAGTGCTAAGCACTGATACTATCGATCGCTGTGGATGGGAAACTAGCGTCGTAGCTTACTAAATACTCGTTTTATTTGGCTTGCTGGTTGGAATGACTATGTAAGGAACTTAACGTGATGATCTTTTTCCATGTATTGAGTAACTTGAAGCTACAAATTAACCAAGTTTCTATGTAACTTGGAAAACTGTTTGCATATATGCTTCTGCTGGAAACGTGTGAAAAATGTTAACCTTTTCCACTGCTGCATTTTTTTATTTTATTATTAATCTAGAAGACTTTGCTGATGTGATTTCGGGTCATCTACTGATGATGTAGGCTGCTTGTAAAAGTTGACTTCTTGGAATGCTAAATAGTCTGTTTTGTAATGTCCTACATAATCGAGCAAACAGTGGTCTAAGTGTGCCTTTAGCTTCTAAATCAGATATATAGCTTTTGGCTTTTGAAATCAAACTGTTTATTCCAACTTCTGACTGCACCAGCCAAAAGGGGATGAAACAGATGGATAATTATCACATCTTCACATGTTCTTGCGAGCGTTTATTCCAACTTCTGAATGATTTTTGCCAAATTTAGAGCTCAATACCAGTTAGTTTGATAGAGTTGGTAGTATATAATTTTTGCCAAATTCAGAGTCCAGAGTTCTCTTTAGTTTTTTCCGTTTTGAGTACAAACCACAATGGCATTGCCATGAATTAGTTTCCTGCACAGCAGGTCATCAGCAGTGTTGTATTCCCTGATCTAAATTAAAATTCTGTCTGTAGCTTTTGTTACACACTTTAATATACATTGTAGCCAGATATATAGTAAAAATTCGTAATTTGAAATGCTAAAACGACTTACAATTCGAAACAGAGCCCTTCAATTCATAACATGGAACTCAATATATTACTGCATAGGTTTTGGCGATTAAACTAAACTAAAGAACTGTGTGCTGCAAAACGAGCTCTTAGTACTCGTGTAGTGTATAAAGAACGAACATGGATCGACTTCGACAGGCCAAGGAAACAACCTAATACATGGAGACTGAACTGATTTGAAGAACTCAACACACGGCGTGTCTATCAAAAAGTCATCAACAACCTATACGAGTAGTAATTAGCAATGGGACGGAAGAGATGAGAAGAGACATGCAGAGCGAGGGGTGAGCACGAAGGATGCGCATGGCAAGGAAGCATATATTGGTCGCTGGAGACACGCACGCACGCACGGCGAGGCACGGTGACGATTCACTCATGGCCAGGTGGTGAACTCGAAGACCTTGCCGACGATCTCGAGTTCGGTGGGATCTGGCAGACGAAGAGCAGCACGTTGACGGCGTTGAGCGCGATGTGGAGGCTACGTGCGGTCTCGTCCCCCTTCTGCATCGCCGGGACGAGTGCGGCCGTGGCCGCCCACAGGACGGTGATGGCAGCGCCCGCGAAGAGGTGCGGGCCCGAGAACAGCTTGCTGGTGTGGAACCAGGTGTTGAGCGCGCCGCCGACGGACTCGAGCACGCCGAGGCCGAGCAGGATGGACCCCACGTTGAAATGCTGTTCCCGGAACGACCCCTTGATCAACGCCTTCCGCTCCTCGGTGAGCTCCTCGATCTTGATCTCCACCGGTGATTTGGGAGCGGGAGGCGGGCAGGAGTCTGCACCGGCCCCGACCGCGAAGGGAGTGGCGGCGGGCTTGAGCTGCTTCTTGAGCTCGTTGACCTTGTCCTGGATGGTTCGCACCCGGCGCCACTGCCAGCCGAGGTAGCCCGCCCAGAGCGTGTATGCAAAGAGCCCGCCCATGACGAGCGGGTGCAGCAGCGCGAAGCTCCGGCCCTCCAGGATACCAAACTCGCCGCCCACCGCCATCGCTTTTATTGGCAGTGATGCACCTTTACTTTGCAAGGCTTATTGCTGCTCTCCTTGGCCGATTGTCCTTCATTGTACCTTTTATGTTTCTATTGTTTTCTTTTCCCTTTTAAAAAGGTACGAAATGATCCACTGAGCTATCTTCCTCTGCAAATTTGTTAGGAAATCTCATGGCACAGAATTGATGAACTCTTACCAGCTAGTGATGACGCAGTATCTCGTGCAGTGAATGGAATGAAGCTGTACATGGTTGCTCCATTTTTGACGTAAGTACCTCGTGATCCACGTTCTACTTTATTTGTTGGGGGAAGATGCTGTTATGGGGGCATTGCCATTATTATAGATGCTCTCAAAAAAGAAGGAAACCAAAAATGTGTTTTTTTATTCTGTGGCTTGATCTACTTCTAATTTTCCAAGGCGTAAAATTGTTGCTTAAACATTGTTGTCTCCTGCCTTGTTCTCTTTCTAGGGGTCTTAAGGCTTGGATTGCCAGGCATCCTCCACTGCATCAGAAACCAGAGACATCTGCTAGAGGTTTCTTCTGCTCCCCTTAAGGGCACGTTTGGTTTCCACAAGGCCTAGAACGGATCCGGCCAGGAATACTATTGAATTTTATATGGCCATGCATCACCGGGATACGTTTCGATCAGGAATGGCCTCATCCGAATGGGCCCTTACCCATTCTGGCCTAGATTACAAAATGGAAAAAAACTTTGAATTATTCATAATAGTTCTTGCTACAAATTCGCCTAGTTTTGATGTCAGAAGTCAGTCAGTTGACGTCTTACTTCAGACTAGCCTAGGTTCTCCCTAAAGTCGTGGCATTCATTTGGTTATTATGTGGTGTCCGACAGGTACTGTGTGGAAGGCGAAGAATTCGTCAAGTGGCAGTACCCCAGTGGAGAACCCTGTTGCTAAAGCAGTATCTGACGTGCAGGCGCATCATGTTGACAACCGCCCCGGTCGCAGCTTCAAAAACTTCAGGTTTGACACGGCAAGCATCCTATAGTCCATGGAGGCTTCCTTACGACGCACCTAGGATCCTGACAAAGCATGATGAACCCTGCATCCTTGATGTGTTTCATCATCCTTGATGTGTATAAACTAAGGACCAACACTATCGGTGTTGTCAATCTATCTTCGTTTCGTCGCTCTCACTCGTTTGTTGCACCTGTAATCTTCCACAGCAACAGATGTTTCGTCTTGCATGTGGAGTGTGGTATATATATGTGGTGTCCTGCCAGACGGTTGAATCTGATTTTTTTCTGCTGCCCGGTTTCGTGGTGGTTGTCCATAAAGTTCGGTCTTTTTTTGAGAAACCGGGAAAACTATATTACAAAGACCCTCTCAAGAAAAATGAAACTACAATCCAGTCCTTGCAAGATCATGGTCCTCCCGGTTGACCTCGTCGCCCGTGGTCGGAGCAATGTGCAGCTTGAAGCCGACCCCCTTCCGGACGATAGATCTTCATAATTTTTCAATGCCACCATGAGTCGCATATCGAGAGCATCGACATGCTGTAAGCTCGTTGAACGTCTCGACGGTAAAACAAGGCATCTGGCACCTCAAAGGCCACCATCAACCGTAACGGAAGTGAAAAGAGCGATTCCCCTATCGACAAATTGCCGGTGCTCTGCAGTACTTAACTTTTACAAGACCTGATATCTCATATGTAGTAAACCTAGCATGTCAGTTCATCGAACACTAAATTACACCGGGATTTAAAGTTACATGATTAAGAGCAACCTAGTACAACCAATGCTTACTCCAAAAGTCGGGATAGACGAGGGCAATGGAGAAACAACAAGATAATGATTATCCAAAACATGGCGTATGACCAACAGATCCAGAAACAGAAGACTGAGAAGTCAAACATCGTGAACCCTAAGACCAAACTAACCAACGGTAGACTTGAACTTCTTCGAAAACCAGATCCCTTCTTCTCAGATTACACCATCGCCTCTGTCAGACGAATCTAGTTCCACAATGACGACTGGATCTCATAGCTCTGCTTCAGATTCGAGAGGGATGGGGATGAAGAAGAAGAGCAAGGACCAAGGGCATCTTATAGTGGCTAACGGAGATGGGGCGCAGCGCACCGGAAGTGGAGATGGCATGGATGGGATACACTGCCGGTTCACGCTATGGGGATAAAGTCGGCCATAGCGTGCTCCCTGCGCAAGCGAGCGGAGGAAGGGAATAAAGGAGAGGAGAGAGGGTTCGCTCGACGAGGGAGGCGTGCGGGCGACCGTGTCCCCAAAAGAAGAAAAAAGGGAGGAGGGTCCGGTACAGAGACGAGGGCGAGGATCAGGAGCGGACCGGAGGCCAGGAAATGGAGAAGCGCACAGTGCACGAGGACGGCGAGTGCGGCACGATGTCGTGGACATGCGAGGACATGGTGCTATAGGGCCCGACACCGACGGCGTCCGCGGGGCACGCGGTGACAGCGACCCGGCGTGCGTAGCGTGGTCGAGCTGGGCACAGTGCTTGGGACTTGACATCCACTCAGGCTTTTCTAAGCACTCCCTACTACCCAAGGCTAACTTTTCCTAGGTGTTCTTCTTCCCTTCCCTTCCTTGTCCACAATATGCGCCAATCTTTGTATGAAGTGAGATCACAACATACATGCTTCCTCCGAAACCACCTCTCTTGTTTACTTTGAGAGAACACTATTTCATCAACCCGTTGTGGATTTCCCGTTCAAACACCCGAATATTTGTATCAAAAGTGGTACCGCGTGCATGCTGCTGAGGCCTTTGCTTGTGCCTGCATGCTAACTTTGCATGGTGCATGCAAATGGCCGGCGGCTAGTTAGCGTGGTTAAAGGTAACAAGGTGCTGCTGGTGCGTGCGTGGTAAATGTGGTGGTTGTCTGCGTGCGTGCTTGCCTTGCTCTATTTGCTGCGCATATACGGTTGTGCTGCTCGTGCTACTGCCATGCATGGAGAAGGGAGAGGGAGGGAAGGTGGGACCTGCTGTCGTGGTGGCATGCGAGCTACCGCAGTCGGCGAGGGGCGTCTGGGCGCTGGTGAGCTGCGGCGGCGATGGTGGTGGGGTCGGCGCACGCGCCGTTGTCGGGCATCGGGCAACGGAGGACCAAGTCTTCAAAACCATTTTATTTCTTGCTCATGTGTCTGTAATTCGACCATCTTAACCATGCCAATGTTCCATTAAAGCACTACCAACAGACACAATATATATGTCCCGTGGTTGACTGCTTTTATGTTGTGAGCAGGATACTATTTACTTAGACGTGGAATTGAAACACCATCGAAAACATAATCTAAGAGCAACCACAATGTTGCAGAAAAGTAGTCCATAGGCATTAGAATAGTCTATCAGCTAGCTGAAACATTGTAGACTTTGTATGTATCAGTATATCTTTGGTTACATGACACACGGCAGGTAAGTTAATACACTTATAGAATGTCCCTAGGTACACGTGAATTTTTAAGAGTACCGCCACTAGGTGTCAGCGGGCGTGCTAGTCCTTGTCGCCATAGGCAAGTGTGCTTGCCCAGAATTATGCTAATGATGCTTAGGCTTCAAGCGTTCTGCGGCCAAGTTGCTTGTTAACATGGTAATAGAGTTTGATTAGGAGACGCTCCTTCTCATTCAATATGGAATACATGTCATCACAAACGCGCACCACATGTATATATCTGAAGGTGGCAAACAGGGGCGGGTACATATGCAAGCTTACACATAGCCAATGTACACACAAACTACTGCAGAAAGAAGAACACCTGGGAAAAGTTAGCCTTGGGTAGTAGGGAGTGCTTAGAAACCCTGTCCTCGCATGTCCGCGACATCGTGCCGCACTTGCCGTCCTCGTGCACTGTGCGCTTCTCCTTTTCCCAGCCTCCGGTCCGCCCTTGATCCTCTCCCTCATCCCCGTACCGGGCCCCCTCCCTTCTTTCTTCTTTAGGGGACACGACCAACCGCACGCCTCCCTCGTCGAGCGAACCCTCTCTCCTCTCCTTTATTCCCCCTCCTCTCGCTTGCGCAGGGAGCGTAGCATGCCCAGCTGTATCCCCGCAGCGTGAACCGACAGTGTATCCCATCCATGCCGTCTCCACTTCCGGTGCGCTGCGCCCCATCTCCGTTTGCCACTATAAGATGCCCTTGGTCCTTGCTCTTCTTCTTCATCCCCATCCCTCTCAAATCCGAAGCAGAGCTATGAGATCCAGTCGTCATTGTGGAACTAGATTCGTCTGACAGAGGCGATGGTGTAATCTGAGAAGAAGGGATCTGGTTTTCGAAGAAGTTCAAGTCTACCGTTGGTTAGTTTGGTCTTAGGGTTCACGATGTTTGACTTCTCAGTCTCCTGTTTCTGGATCTGTTGGTCATACGCCATGTTTTGAATAATCATTATCTTGTTGTTTCTCTATTGCCCTCGTCTATCCCGACTTCTGGAGTAAGACCTGGTTGTACTAGGTTGCTCTTAACCATGTAACTTTAAATCCCGGTGTAATTTAGTGTTTGACGCCGTGTAATCTTTCGTGTCATTCTAGATTTACGAAATGTGTTGCAGTTTCGCCTAAGGGGAGTGGATCCTACTTGTGTTGTAGTTTTTGCTCTTTCCACCTATAATGTAATCCTAGCCAATGTTGTGCTTTGAATCTAAGTGTGTCGGTTGAGCCTAACTCCATCAAATACTTCTTTCCACTAACATATCATTGATTTGCTGGCCTAGAATAGGCACCATATAATGACAACCAACCTCTATGTTCGTTTACAACATTGTAATGAAAAAGGTCGTGTTACCTTTCCTTCCCATATTTTCTCATTTAATATACCAAATAGACCAATCTTTCGTAGTAACGCGATGAGAAAATATATTAGACATATGAGCCATATTTTCCAAGATTTTTCCTATACCAAGCACATCACCCACAGCGAAGCGCGGACAGCAGTGGCTAGTTTCCTATTATAGTTGTCTAGCACCAAAGCATTTTAGTTGCTCTGGTTGACTTTTCAACAGAATGGCACATTTAGCTT